TTTCTAGAGGGTTTATAAAGGTCTTTTTATAGAATTGTAGAAGGTTTACAGGGGCTATAGCGGTTATAGACGATTTGCAAAAGGTTGGAGAGTTTTCTGGGGTGTTCGTAGAAGGTTTTTGAAGTTTTTATACAGTCTTTAGAGGAAGCTTTTAGGTACCCCGCCTGTGGTCCTGTGGTCCTGTGGTCAGGGTCCTGTGGTGAGGGCTTATAGCGGGTTTGAAAGACAGTTTTACAGAAGTTTTGCGGAGAGTTCATGGTCCTGGGAGGTTATAGATACGGCTTATTCCCAGATGGCCCCGGGGGGGAGGGAGGGGCCTCAGAACGCGCGGACACATATACCCCTATATATCCCCTTAAAGGGACCTAATTATTGTGCGTGTGGACCCTCTTAGGTAAACCCTAAATCCTCAAACCCTAAACCCTAAAGCCTAAACTAAACCCAAAACCCTAAACCCTAAATCCTCGAACCCAGGCCAGATCGAGAAGCAGCTTCTGTCATCCCCGGAAGTGGACCCGCAGTCAAAGCCTCAGCCTATACTGAAAGCTTAGGGTTAAGGGTGGGTTTAGGGTTTAGTGTGGGTTCAGGGTCATGGGTTTAGGGTTTAAGGTGGGTTTGGGGTGTAGGGCTTAGGGGTTTCGGGGTTTAAGGTTTAGTGATTCGGGTTTAAGTTTGATGCAGTACTCAAATTCCTGCATGGCCCTACTTCGCAGCAATACCAGAACTTCGAAGGTATGAGGTACTGAGGGTCATGCAAGAGTTCTATCATCAACCGTAGATGTGAAAGCGGTCAAGTTATCCTATATCCCTCTATAGTAAGTTGTTACATATGTAGATAGCATTAGAGTTTCGTAATTTATCTTCCTAGCTTCTACCTAATTTTCTGCCAGATATAAGGGGGACCAATGGGAATATGCATCGAGTACAAACTAGGCATAAAGCTTTGGGTTGACACCATAAATATGGGACCAATATAGACCCCAATATATTGCAATCCTTCTTTTGGGGACCCCGAAGAGGGACTCTTAATTTTAGGTAGGGATAGTGCTAGGGATCGGGATACAGAGTTTGTTCTCCAAAATCAGGCGCCAAACAAATGACCTCACCGCCCTACGTATGTTAGTAGGTATACTGATGATCGTGGAAGTGAGGCGGGGGGTATTATTGTTGGGACGTGATTAACATGGAAACCACCGCCGCGTCAGTTCAGCATCTGCACGATCAGACCGGCAGAAATGTCAGAAGCGGTTTGCAAAAAACCATCCAGGCAACTTCCCGAAACCCCTGGTACCTTAAACCCTGAACCCTCAATGATGCAGCAGTTTCTTTGTGATTGTTCATGTTCTTTTCCCTCTGCTCCTGCTTAGCTTAGGCCTGAATCCCATAACCCCAACACGCCACAGCCCGGAACTGTACAGCACGGCATGCGGTTTAGGCTTTAGGGTTACGCTGAACTCCGAAGCCCCTAAGCCTCCATGTCTCCTCTAGTTCCTGACCACAAAGCCCTAGGATGAATCAAGGGCATGCTTATATTGGGGTATGTATTGGGGTTATATAGGGATAATGGAAAAGAAAATGGAAACTACTATATTATAATAGGGTATATATTGGGGTTATATTATTCTATCCATCTCTCTCGCTATTTGTATGTGTGTATATATGGGTGGTTGTCAAAATTATGGTCCCTTTTTGGGTGCCATAAATATTAGGTGCCGTATTATAATAGGGACCCAAGAATGGACCATAATTTTGACAGCCACCCATATATATATATATATCGAGATTGAAGTGTGTGTTCAGGCTTCAGGAGAACATCCGCATGGTTGTGGAGGAGGTGGATGAGCATCTAATGGAACCCCTGGCGCGGCGGCTGGAGGCCAGGGAAGTAGACTACAAGGGAAGCACGGGGTACGGCGGATGGAAGAAATCGTGCACCACTTAAAATAGCAGAAACCTCCAAAGTAATTGTAATTCCCCACTACTTGCAATTGCATTGGGTGGTGAAGGATCACTTCCAGTAGGAGTAGGCTGCGAGTTCAAGGCCACTTAATTTTGGGCATTCCAAAAAAAAGCGGGCCCGTGCCTGTAATATCAAGGGACACCCCAAAGGTTGCACGAAGGGATCGATTTTGTCAGTTTTGTTGGCCCCCCAGCCTCCTGACTGGCTTCCGAATCTAAACAGGATATCTAGGTAAGCACGAGGATGCCGGAACCCGGTAAACGAAAATTCTAAAGTGGGAGTTTGGGTTTAGGGTTTAGGTTAGGGTTCCCAATAATAAGGATTATAGTATATTGGGTCATGCCGGATCGTAGAGTCCCCTCAACTAATGTTTGGAAACATCAGGAAGAATCCTTCAAATCCATAAGTCTTCTAGGCTCCTGCCTCCAGTAGTTGGTGATATTTCTCCTTAGAAACTGAGACGACCTGGTCCACATGGGTTGTTCTCAAAATTATGGGCCCCTTTTGGTTATGGATTATATTACGGCACCTAATATTTGGGTGTACTAAAATAGGACCCTAATTTTGGGAATTACATAGTAGCCACCCTCAAAAGGGATCTAAAGTCTGCGGGCCCCTTCTGCTACTACCCTCGACCTGCCAGGGACACTTCTGGCAGTGCGGCCTTTATGTTCGGGTCTCAGAGTCTCAGGTGAGCTATAGTCTAAACCTCCTAAGAGGGGGTTATATATGGGAATTGCATAGTAGGGTTTAGGGTTCAGAAAATGGAAAAGAAAGCCGGGAAATTACCGTTTGGATTAGATCGGGGCCACCCTAGAAATCCATTCCTCCAGTCTCTACCGATTCACGGTTTAGGGTTTAGGGTTAGGGGGCTGATGTACCCGCCCAGAAAGCTGGCAGGGAATTCCACAACGTGCGCTCATGTTACCGGCACTAGGGCCTTTGCGGGCCTCCCCATGTGAGCTGCTAGGGCTGAGGGTCTGGGGCATGGGTGGAGTATAATATATTATGGTATGCTATACACTCTAATCATATACTACACTATACTATACTATACTATACTATACTATACTATACTATATAGGAGCTCAATAGGGGGTCCCATGTCATGCTTTCCTCGCATCCTCGCTAGAGGACCGCCCAGAAAATTCTGCTAACCCTCCATACATTGCCCGTGAAGCGCCTTTACAAAATGCGAAGCTGAAATGAAGGGCTTGTTTTTCGTGTATTAAACTCGTGGTCAGAAGCACCCTGAAAATCATACAGCCAGTAACAGTAACAGTAACAGTAACAGCAAAATCCTTGAAACGAAATCCAATGGACAGAGGGATTGGGAAGAAAAGGTCCCTAATCCCTGAATCCTTCCAACATGATCCAAAGGTGAAAGGAATGGGAACAATTCAGAGCCCATGGTTCCCCGTACTACCCCTGATCATCCCCTAATGGTCCAAGTTCCTGATAATTGGGTATTTAAGACTCTAAGGTACCAGTGCGTAGTTGTAGTACAGGTTATGGGGGAGCATAGCATTATCTTACTGGTTATTAATGTTTTTGAACATGGGAATATGACCCCTGCATAATCCCTATTTCATATATATTCTCCTTTTTCCCTACTCAGCACCAGGAAGTTGTTTTGTACCGGAACCCTTTGGGAACACTTCTATGAAGCATTCTCTCTCTCCTCATTAAGCGCACGGGCGAGGCTTCCCTGTAGACGAAAAACCTTCATCTCCCTCAACCCTAAAATTACCGGAAGTTGGTAGGTAAGAGTGGATTTTTCTAGACAAGGTTTAGAGTTTAGCGTTTCCACTTTTCTTTTCCTTCAGTATGACCAGTAAGTCTGACTTCTGAGGCCGAACTGCCTGCGACCCCAAACCCAAAGCAGTTACTTCTGCTGCCGGATGCTTCCTTAGCCAACCTTCCGCTGGGCGCCCAGAAGCCAAAGTTACTCGCTTCGAGGCTTAGGGTTTGGGGCCTAGGGTTTAGGGCTTGGAGTCTAGGACCTATGTATCCTACGTTTTAGGGGTCCTATTAAGAGAATACTACGTAATACAAAGTACATCGCAGAAACCTAAAGGGTGCCAATAGTTAAACTTCAAGCCCTGGAAACACTAAAGAGTTTGTATCAGGCGTATACTAGGAGGATAATTACTGGACAACCTACTGGCAAAAAAGTTGAAAATAGAATTGAAACTCGGTTACAGTAGGGGTATATGCAGGGATGTAACAGGTGATAAGGTGGCTTTAGCAACTTGAGCCCCAGAAGTTGAGTCCATATTAGAGTCGTATGAGAGTTATGGGGTCTTATTGTTTAGGATTTAGGGGGTTTAGGGTGTTGGGTTTGTGGGGATTGGGAATATCGAAGCCACTTGGTTAGTGTAGGTTGACGGAACTGGTTGGAGGAGAGCTTATAAGAGATTCGTCTAAGCCCTCCAATCGTCCTGGTGGTTAGTAGGGAACAAGGGAATACAATCCCGTATACAAAATTCCTACAAATCCCCAATAAGTAAGTCATGTTGCGGGTTTTGAGAGAGCAAGGTAATCTCCTCCAGATTTTCCTTTTGGCTTTTCCTATGATTCGAGTCGTAAATGTATATCTTCCGTGGATGCCTCACCCTGCAAAAGTGGTATGATAGGAATATAATTAAGAGGTATAACCACCA